GAAATTCATTTCCGTTCGTCCGCTTAAGAGGCATATAGACGATTACCATGACAATTAGGATAAAGTGTAATTTTCATTTACACGCTAGATAGAGATAAGTGAAACGTTGAAGTAACCAAAGGAGAATGAAAATGGTAAAGTAGTCTACGTGGGAAAGTAGTCCTTTAAAAAGATTTATCGTTCTTCATGGACTCCGAGTGTCCCCTCGTTCTTTGCGCAGTAAATATAATGACTACATTTTAATGGAAGAGCATAAGTACATGGCAACTAGTATTAGTATTAGTATTAGGAGTAGTAATGGTACTAGCAGTATTAGTAATAGTGACGATGACGATATTACTACTACTACTACTACTATTACTACTACTACTACTACTACTTCTACTATTACTACTACTATCACTATTACTACTACTACTACTAGTAGTAGTAGTAGTAGTAGTAGTAGTGGTAATAGTAATAATCTTATTACGTAACGTAATAAAACGTCATAAGTAGGGACGTAGTTTTTCTTCGCATTAGTTGCAATTCCTGTGAACGACTCTAAGCCAATGCTCTCTCTCTCTCTCTCTCTCTCTCTCTCTCTCTCTCTTTCTCTCTCTCTCTCTCTTTCTCTCTCTCTCTCTCTTTCTCTCTCTCTTTCTCTCTCTCTCTCTCAAGAGGAAGCTTGTTTAGTACACGATCACTTCTTGTATATATGTAAAAACGTTCTTAGTCGGTTGGCTAGAGTCACCGGCTTACTGGAGAGTATCAGAGAGGGTCACGATGAGTGCTCTCGAGGGCCTCGTAGTAATCTTTATTCGCCGATCGTCGGCTTACCAATAGAGAGCTTTTGCCATAGAGGCATACTGAGAAGAGACCATAAAAGTATGTTCTAAGGAGACGTCTGAGATTTTTGTGATACAAGTTTCTTCCTTGTTCCATTTTTGTCGATTTATGTGTGACCAGTTTCTTTTCTTTTTTGTCTCTTTTTTCTTTTTCTCTTTTTCTTTCTTTTTGTTTTTTTTTTTCTTTCCTTTTTTCTCTTCTTTATTTTTATAAGAAATAATCTTTCTTCATCATTCATAAATAGTTTAGCTATTCATCATTATGTCAATTAATAGTCTTATTTATCATCGCGATAAGAGTTGTTTCCTTTCTTCTTGTGGGAATTCAATTTGTAAGGTGAAATCGTAAGGTCACGAATACTTTCTATTTCTCTCTCTCTCTCTCTCTCTCTCTCTCTCTCTCTCTCTCTCTCTCTCTCTTTCTCGATATTTCCTTTCGATTGCAAGGAACGTGAATCGTCTTGGCAAGATTACATCGCAAATAATCCTATCCATTCTTGGATCGATCGAAGCTAACGCGGACCCTCGAAGGATAGGGGTCGAATCTATAAGAGAAAAAGAGATAGGGTGGGAAACAATTCTTCTCTCCGATGTTGTGCAAGCAACCGTCTACTTCCGCTTAATACTATACTATGCTCGTTCTTATGGCTCTTTGTACTTTACTTTCATGCGTTCACTCGTATTACTACTACTACTACTACTACTACTACTACTACTACTACTATTACTACTCTGAAAAGAAGCTTGCGAAAGCTTCTTCGTTACTTAACGAGTGTCGACGTTTTTCGCATAAGTCATCGTCTTTAGAACATTGAAATTACCTAGTAAGAATATACGGCTACGTTTAATCGAATTACCTATTATATTCTATATAGGGAGTAACATGTAGAAAAAAAAAAAAGTATTGATCGGCTTAACGTCGATTACTTTGATCGTGAGAACTCGAGAACTTCCTCTTTTTTACTTATGAAAGAAGAGAAAAAGTAGAGAACGAGAGGAGGATGATAGCGAAGCAGCCCTGATGCTTTCGAACGAGCTCGCACCCCACAAGATAGGTTGCGATGAACGGCCAAGCATATCCCCGTCGATTAATCACCCCGAAGATCATCGAACGCACGTTTTATCGAGTAAGATGACGATAGATTCTCGCCATGGGCGGTATAACGGCAGCTACCGAGCCAAAGATCGGCTTTCCCGAGCAACACAGGAAACGACTGCATCCTTGCTCTTACTAAGCTATGGTACGCCAAGCTATTATGACTTGGGGATAAGAAAATAATTAGCGATGCATAAATCCGCTAATCGGCTGTCCTTCGACCAACCGGAACGAACGAAGTCTTCTTTTAAATAAACTACTCGCGTTTTGTTTAACTGCCAGTCAACCAGGAAATGACTTGACCACGAACGCGAGACTCCTTTCTTTCCTTTGATCACGATCCTTGGTTATTATCGTTCCCCTCCCCCACTCATCTCCTAATCGTTCATCTTAATTGATTTTACGTGTTGCTATCATCGACAAAATCTAGATTTAAATTAATACGATATTAATCTTTTTAACTTTTGTATCGGGAATATTCGAGATTAAAATTAAAAAACAATTTGACGGCCTCGGGGACTAATTTTCATTTTCAAAATCAGGTTTTGTTTTTTATTTCAGTGGTACCGTTCGAATGTTTTTAGGAAGAAGAAATAGAAAAGTAAAAAGGAAAATATGTAGAGGAGTTTGTGAAGCAATAGCTTCGAGCCTTCTCGAACAAATGGAATGTATTATTCACCGTCCGGCAAGACTAAACTAAAGGCGCGATACGGTCCGGCGAGTCGCACTAAGCCGACCGACTTGCATCGATCTTCTTCGACGAACAATAAATCACTAGGTTGCCTGTACGCGATAATTTCACGGCGGCGCTTACCTTGGAGTAATAACAGCGAAGAAAAAAGAATATAAGAGATAAATAACAAGAGAGGTAAACAAATTTTTCGAATTTTTACTTTAAGTAAATTTAAATATTGGGAAAAATCAATAATATTTAACTACTATTATTCTATATAAATCATTTATAAATAATTATATTGTGTATAGTATTAATTACAGCTATTTCTTTTTTTTTTAATTGAATTTAAACGATACATATTCAAAAAGAAACGATGACGTCTCCGGTTCGAAACTGGAATCATTAAAATGATTTCAAGTTTTTGTTAAAAACGTAAAATTCATTCTTTCTGAATGGTATTTGAAAACTGAGCGCATGAATGATCAGGATTATTTTGAAAATTGCGGAACGAATTTAAAAGTATCCTAGTCATTCATCGTTGACCAACTTTGACTCCTTTTTTATTATTCTCTTTTTTTTTTTTTTCTTTTTTTTTTTTTTTTTTTTTTTATTATAATGGAGTTTCTCAGCTTGTCACGCTAGAACCCAAGCGTGATCGATATTAAGAGCGACAGGTGCCCCTCCTTCGAAAGCTTTCGTGTTCCCGCGCTATTAGGATCGCGCGCGACGAGTGTGCACGGGACTTGAACGTGTAGCTCGTATCTAACTACGTGCACGCTCTTACATTGGCTCGTAACTTACGTACCGGGAGAGACAGCGATGAATCCTCGCTGAACTCGCACGCTTCCACTCTTATTCCGCGTGCTGTCACGAGCAAGCGCATCATTAGACCATCCGGCATTACAAATGACGTCGAAGGGACTCGATGTGTTCTGTGTCTTCCTTTATTCTACTCTGTTGATGTCATGTAACACACATACACACACACACAAATATACATGTATGCATATATATATATATATATATATATATATATATATACATAGAGAGAGAGAGACATATGGTATAGTATAGTCGTTTCTCTTCAGTTGCTCTCTTAAACGATCCGACAAAACGCGGCCCTTTAAGTGGATCGTTCGGGTGGATCGAAAGACAAAAAGTCCTTAGGCGAGTCATAAGCATTTATGAGTTTCTTACAGCGAAGCTAATAAGTTTAGGAAGATCGCCGTTTGCGACGACAGTAGAGCCCAGCGGGTTCCCCTAGTCAATCTTTTTGTTATTCCTTTGCCTTCGAAGAAGGAGAGACCTTGCACGAAAGTCCCTAGCTATAAGACGACGCGCGTACACCCCTTTTTCCTTATTTCCACCGCGTATCGTCCTCGATACAAATCGCGGCTAGCCACTTTGTAACAGCAAATTACGTGACGGTGATCCAAACGAGCTTTCTTCTGCGAAACTTCAACGGAGCGGATACTTACACAATTAGCCACTTTAATCATTTAACTTGCACGAGATCAGAACAATCGTTGAATAGATGGTTAAGTGAAATTAAGTGGCTCCTTTTATGGAATCTGAGTAATGCAATGACAAATGTTACGGGGGAATCGAACGAGCACGTTTGTTGGATTCATCGGATACGTCTCGAAGATTCTTGAAATTCTTTGATGCGATCGTATGGCACTATCTTCTTCTTCTTTCTTTCTTTCTTTCTTTCTTTCTTTCTTTCTTTCTTTCTTTCTTGAAATAAATCAAAGTGGAAGGTAAGAGTAAGGATCGGGGAGAATCCATTCAGTATTTCCTACCACGATAGAAAGAAAGAGATGCGGTTTTCCCTTTCCGTTTGTATCACATACGGTACAACACAAAAGCACGTTTAAAGTAATTTCCGCAAGAAAGTCTCCCTTCGAGATCCTTCGTGCCGGTGGGCGAATGGCGTCAGGATGATTTAAATGAAGCTGCTCCTCTCTACACGCTTCTTTCCTCTTTCCTCTAGTCTTCTTTTTCCATCTTTCTCTCTCTTCCTCTCTTTCTTTCTTTCTCCCTCTCTATATATCCTATCTCTACCCTCTTCTTCTACCTCATCGTTCACCGAGCAATCGACTTTGACAGGAACAAGTAGCGCACGCTTCACGGTGGTCGCTTTGAGCCTCGGGAGAGAAAAAGATGACAACGATGATGGTTAAAAAGGATGGAAAGACATTACAGATATCCTTCTGTTATCGTAGAGAACAACAACGTTAGAAAATTAATTACACCAAAAGTTGAGTGAATAACTTTTTCTTACATTCTTTTTCTTCTCTTAGATCTTTTCTTTTTTCCTTTCTTTTTTTATTTTTTATTTTATATATATATATATATATATATATATATTTTTTTTTTTTTCTTTTTTTTCACTCATCCTTGGGAGAAGCTAAAACAAGTTTCACGCTCTTATTTATATGCCTGGCCTTTTCTGGCAAGAAAATAAAATTAACACGACCAGTGGTCGAGCGAGCACGCTTCCAAAGAGAAAGAGAGAGACAGAGAAAGAAAGAGAGAGAGAGAGAGAGAGAGAGAGAAAGAGAGGGAGAGAGAGAAGATCGAAAACAGAGAATGAAGAGCTAAAGAAGAGTTAATGAACCACGCGATTCTATTATCAGTGGTCCCAGTGAGATCACGACTCAGTATCGACAACGGTGCTGAGATAATATCGCTTTACGATCTACCTCTCCATCTGGTAAGCACTTAGTCGATGTTAGATACGAACCAGATACGATCGAATAATCGGGACGAGCTACGAGCTCGGATAGGAAATCTCGGGAACTTAGAAAAGCCGCCGTGTGATGAATCTCACAAGATCGAAATCATCGTGATGTATCATACGGATACGATCAGAGGATATCGTTTTTGAGAAAACGGAGTACACAAATTGAGTAACATAATCTGTTACATGTCAATATTTCACTAACCTATCCATCTATCAGACAACTGATGAGTTATTTAAACTGAGGTTAATCTTTAATAGAATTTTCTAGATAACTTGGCTTGTAACAACTCAACTCAACTCACTGTATACTTTGATAGAAATATATATGTATCCTGAGATAACAACAAACTTGTAATACATTGATCGTTTCCAATAAACCTGACAACGTATAACATATGTTCTTACGTTCATAAATTTTATTATTAAACCACAATGTTCCGTACGTTTGGGAACAAACTAAAATAAAACTGATAAAGATAAAATTGTCGAATGAAATTATAATATTACAAAAATACATGACGATATACGTGTCGCACGTTAATATCGATTCGATGAAAATTGATTTGAATTTTATTTTCATTAATGATAATATTAGAGATATATCGTGCATATTTAGATATTTAATTAATTAAGATCGATGGATTGTAAAATGGCGAAGAAATTTTTAATACAAATAGCAAATGAAAAATAATTTTAGCATGATAGTTAGTTTCGATGAAAGGAAAGGAAGAATAGACAAAGAAATAGAGTATGGTAAAGATTGAGAGGAGTAGTAGGAGAAGTTAGACATGGTGGGGTAAAGGAAAGTAAAGGAAGGCAAGGGAAGGCAAGGGAAGGCAAGGGAAGGCAAGGGAAGGTAAGGTAAAGGCAAGGTAAAGGCAAGGCAATGCAGAGGCGAGTTACGGGGACGAGCATGGCGCAAAGGCGCATTGGCAAAGCATGCTAAGGCAACGGGTCCAAAGTCGTCGAGTCGTGGCAAGGCTCTGCTGGCGCGTTAACCTCCCGCGTGGACGCAGTACGCTCTCGACTCTCGCGCAGGCTAGATTGCACCAATCCCGCTGCTCGATTCGCCGACCACGTGCGACTCGTGCGTCTCTTTATTCACGAACTTAAAGAATTTTCATTCGACATTTAGTACTTCTCTTTTTTTCTTTTCTTTTCGCTTTTTCTTTCTTTTTTTTTTTTGTAGAATTTTAAAGAAATTTTTTTCCAATGTCTATGAAGTGAGTAATTAAAAAAAAAAAAAAAAAGAAGAAATTAAAAAAAACGAAAGCAGTGATCAGTGACGTAAACATTTGACAGTTTTCTATTTCCCGTCTGTTTTTATTTTCGTGATCAAAAAAAAAAAAAAAAAAAAAAGAAGAAGAAAAAGAAATAAAAAACTGTGAGCTTTTTCCTTTATCTTGAATATCACCAAAGTTAAATCCAACAAATTCTCTATAAGCATCATGTAATATACAAGCTAAATCGAAATCGGTTTCTACGGTTGAAACATCGAGGAAGTTTGGGGAACATCCCGTTACCACGAAAGTAATCTAGAAAGTTCCTATTCCCACGGATCGAAAGAGAGAGAGAGAGAGAGAGAGAAAGAGAGGAGGAGAAAGAAAGAGAGAGAGAGAGAGAGAGAGAGAAACAAGCGAGGAAATCGAAAATCGATCTGCGGCTTGTATAATGTTCTCGTGGGCGAGAACGATCGGGAGACTCGAAGAAGAAGAAGAAGAAGAAGAAGAAGGAGAAGGAGAAGAAGAAGAAGAAACTTAGGTGGAGTCGTTCCGGTTTCAGGTGGCGACCAACGATGAAATCGAAGGTACATCGAATGGATTCGAAATGGTCACGCCAGCTTGCGTCTGGGAGCGTGATCCTAAGGAACCAGAACGGAAAGAGATGAAAGACCATTGTCCTTTCTCAAGGGATCGGACATTCGCACGACACCTGAAGCATAAAAAACATTTAAAAAACTTGTGAGTTCGAGAAGAGAAAGAGAGAGAGAGAGAGAGGTAGGGAGAAAAAGAGAGAGAGAGAGAGAGAGAGAGAGAGGAAATAGAGAGAAACAATACTTTTTCAAGTATTACATTTAATTGAGATTTATTAGATTATCAAAAATTTAATTTAAAAATCTGTGAAGAAGTCTAATGAAAGGTACACCTCAAAGATGACCATAAATGGTCACCGTTAGTTACAAAGGCGAAAGAGAGAGAGTCGCGTGGGAGGTTGAGTCTTAAACGAGATCCTTTTTACGAGCGGCCAAGAAGACAGATTCTTCGTGCTTGTTCTCATACACGAAAGAAAAAGAAAGAAAGAGAGAGAGAGAGAGAGAGAGAGAGACGAAAGTACGAGCGACTCGTTTAGGCGAGTAAGATCAGCCGTCTTTTCTCGTTACCACTCTAACCAGGTGTCCTGCGACCCTCCGTGCACGAAAAAGGATCAATGTATTCCAAGAAGAAACCGAGGTCGCAAGTCTAAAAAAGCTGTGAGCCTAGTGCGGATCGAGGGGTGTTTAGGAGGTGACGTTCATTCGCATCGTCACCTTCGTTAACTTTGAAATATTCCAAAGAAGTGCAAGCTACGTGACGGAGTCTTGTTCCAAGTTCTTGGAGTCTTTGTTCAGGTTCTTCGAGACCTAATAGAAAGTGAATTGGAAGTGTATAAGTACTTTATTTCTAAATCGAGTCACGTGCATCGACCTTGTGATTAAACTCTAAGCTGTCAAACGTGATCGATCGTTTAGTAAATTGATCATTGATCCGAGCATACCAATAACAAAGCTTAGTCTTGATCTATGATCGAGAGACTTTTAATAAACATTTTAATTCTTTATCATATCGGTTTTGCCAAATGTGGAAGAGATCGATAGATGAAACGAAAATATTCGAAATATTGACGATCGACTATCGGACGGACGAGTCTAGGAAGATAAGAAAAGAGGGGGAAAATAAGAAGATGCTGGTTGCCTGTACGAAGAGAGCGTGCAGAGCTGGCCTGGTCGCAGTGTTGGTCACCGCACTATGCGTCCTCACTCTTCTCGATTCGCCGCCGCGACTCCCGGATCCTCCGGCCGATCCTCCTCCCACGCCTGGTAAGCAATTTTCTCCCTCACCATGCGCGCTGCGCCTGCCACCACCACCTACCATCACCACCACCACCACCATCACCACCACCACCACCACCACCACCACAACCACAACAACAACCATCACCATCGTCGTCGTCGTCGCGAGCTAGCCGCGAGCTAGCCACGACCTTTGCCCTTTCGTTATCGCCGAACGGGTTCGCAACCTCCGGGAAGTAGCATACCTTCGGCCCTTAACTCTATTCTCTTGGACAATTGCAATTCTCTTCCTAGGAAGATCAATAGATACCAAATGTTCCTACTTTCTATCTAGTTCCTTTTCGTTACTATTTTTACCTTTTAAAGCTCATCCAATTCCAAGGTGATCTCTTCTTCTTTGTTCCATTTTATTAGAACAGAAGAGTTATCCTTTGTTTTTGTCTTTATCAAGATATTGTAATGTGATTTTAATGATTTCTTTTTTCTTATTTTTCTCTTTTTTCCTTTTTTCTTTTTTCTTTTTTCTTTTTTTTTTTTTTTTTTTTTTTTAATTGCCCTTCTTAAATTTAGCTTTATTGATTTATGAGATTATTTCTTGGCAAAGATATTACAATTTTATTTCACGAATTTATTAATTATTAATTTTTAATCCGTATACGATCTCTTTTATTTCATTTCTCATTCCAAATAGGATTTAGTTAGTTAAAAAAAAAAAAAAAAAAAAAGAAAAAACAAAGAAGAAAAGCAAAACAAGATAAAACAATAAGAAAGAAAGGAAAAAGAGAAAAAAAATCATAAATTTGTTTCTTGATCTACGAATTTAAAAAAAAAATATACTCGAACGAAAAGAGAAAGATATCCCTCGTTCTAAGTGTTCGCTCAGCAGGTAGAAGGATCGTGAGTGTTTCTTACTCGCGCGAATATATAGTTTCTCAGCATTCACGGCTATCCGGTCGGTAGAAGCAAGTAACTAAGGAAGGAAGGAAGGAAGAAAGGAAGGAAGGGAAATTTCTCGAGCTTTTTTTCCATCCACTCGGCACGATCCTATCTTCTTTCCTTTCGTACGAATGGTATTGTTCGTGAAGCTTAAGTCTCGATCGAAGTTTCTACCTGGGGCGATCATAAATCGTATGACCAAATCGTCCACGAATGAAAATAGTAATAAATTCGATTCAGGGGAAAAATACGACATATACATGCATATATACACGCACACACACTGACGTACGTATTTAATAAAAATTAAAAAAAATAAAAATAAAAAAATATATATATATATAAAACGAAATCGATGAAACGAACCGAAAAAAAAAATGAAGAAATCGTAAGGAAAGACTCAAGAAAGCTTCTCAAATGGACACAAAGAATCCAAGCGTGTATAAATCTCGACGTCTCGTTTTTCGAAGCCGGCGACTTCATTAGGCGAAATAATTTACGACGTATTTCTGAGTTCTTTCTCTCTTTTTCTTTTCTCTCTCTCTCTCTCTCTCTCTCTCTCTCTCTCTCTCTCTCTCTCTCTCTCTCTCTCAGTGGACCGCCCGTCGATCGTTGTTATTATTCTTGCTAAATTATGAGGAGCGATCTCGCGACGATAATTTCGGCCGTT